CATAAACCTCTTAGTCATAAGTGGGTAAGTGTGCTGACTGCAGCAAGATTATGTGGGCTTCATCTTCATGTATTTTGAACAATGCCTGGTTAAGGGAGCTCTTCCTCTCACAAGATTTGCTCTTCACATCTTTGACTCTGTAAGTATATTAATTATGAAGAAGGAACGGGACTACTGATGTCTGGGGCTATGTGGGGCACATTTTCCTGAACAGTGTGCAGAGACTCAGATAGTGAAGCAGGGGATCACATGGACAGTAAAACTTGCTTCTCTGTCTGCCATGGCAAACAGGGATGCAGTTATACAGGGCTAGTACTCATGTCACCTTTGTTTTAAGAGCCACTATTCCTAGAGCTTCAGGGTAAATACAGACTTGCACAGATTACCAAAAGCATCAGCTTCCTAGCTGGTTGGCCACATGCTGTCACATGCCATGCAGTAGGACTGGGCAGACCTGAAGCATACCTTGGAAGGAACTCAGACATCAAAAATCCAGTTATGGGAGCAAGGCAGGCTGTGGTGATAACTCAGTGCTATGGGCTAGAGCAACTATATTGAATCTAGATTGTTCCAGGAAAAGGGATGCACTGGGATGAAGCAGATGGAATTAGGTAAGGGAAAGTGTTCACTCCTAGTACTTTTCTTTGAAGACTCCCTCTCTCCTATGTTAGCTTCAAGATATACAAAAACCATTGAACTGGGACTAGCAGTTGGCATAATGGTTATGTTGCTCGACTCCCATGCAGTCGACCATGGTTTGAGTCCTGGACCCAGTGGCTTAAACTCACACCGGGTACATGTGTGTGCGTGCCCAAGATCCCAAGAGGAGAATGGAGGAGAAGGGATTGTGGCATGGCCATCCCCCCTGGGGGATGATTTCTTGCTTTCTGTCTGTCTCTGTCTTTCTGGCTAGTGGACACGCCCTATAGCAAAAAACCTCTCTCAAAAAAACCACAAAAACAAAAAACAAAAACAAAAACAAAACATTGGGCCTAGGAATCAAAGGATGACACAAAATTACTTCATATTCCTCAAAAGTCAATCTAAGGATACAATCACTCCATAATTTCTGTCATTTCTGACCTAGACTTTCTTCTTTTTTTTTTCTCTTTTGCTATAGGGATGTGTGTTCTCCAGAGACAGACAGAGATAGAAAGAGAGAAGCAAACTGAGAAAATATACCCTCCCCCAAGGGAGATGGCCATACCACAATCTCCTCCCATCCATTCTCTTCCTAGGATTTTGGGCATGCATGCCAATGGGCCCTGTATTGTCTTTCAAGTCGCCAGGTCTCAACGTAGTTGGCATGTGGGATCCAGCTGTCTTAACCTCCATATCACCTGCTGGCTTGTTTTTTTTACTACAAAATTTTTTACTACAAAATTTTTTAACCTTCTTTTTTTATATATGTAGAAAAACTTTTTTGGTTTTGTTTTATTTTAAAAGTTTTGCTATAAGGTATGTGTACTTGCTGGAGAGTCAGAGAGAGATGGTGAGAGGAAAACTGAAAAATCACCCTTCAGGGGGATGGTCAGGCTGAAATCCTTCTTCTCCATTCTCCTTCTAGGATTTTGGGCACATATACATATGCACCAGCCGCCAGGTCTGGGACTCAAACCAAGGTCAGCCATGTGGAAACCAGTGCCCCAACCACTATACCACCTGCTGACCCCAGAAAAAGGTGTTTTTGTTTATTTGTTTATTTCTTCTATGAGTGAGAGAAACAGAGAGAGAGAATCCATGAATCACCTCCAGACTTCGGCCATCCCCCAGGTCACGGGTACACACATGCCTGACATACTGAAGTAGGTCTCTGGGCTCGAACTGGTCATCTTCCCTTGTGGGATTGCCTCACAAAGCATGGCCTTTTACTGCTGTGCCACCATCTGACTCTATAAATAAACTCTTTTGACTTTTTAAACTACGTTCTCAATAGGCCAGAAAATAAACCGTACTGAGAAATAGAAATAGAAAAGCAAGGAACAAAAGCTTTCCCATGAGAAGGTTTCTTAATTTGTACAAAGTGACTATAGTCAACTCCACCTTCCCTTGTCAGTGCAGTCTCAAGTCCTGGTTTCTAGAAAATAGCAGAATAGCAAAAAACAAAGGAAGCCTAAGTAGCAACAAAGCCATCCTCCCTCTGAGTGAATAACAGAAAGCTTAGAGGAGAGTGGATGCAAAATGGTGAACTTTCTGGAAGGTATCTAAAGGTTTCCTATGGAAAACTTGGTCATAAGAACCTTAAATTCACTCCCTCTACTGAAAAGCGTGAACCCCTAAACTCATACTAAGCATCTCGAAGCCTCTTGAGTTATTGTGGGGTTTGTGATACAGGCTCTTGCTGCTTGGCAACAAGCTTGGGGCTCCACAAACTTCTAAACAAAATAAAACATGATTGGTTCCCCCGTGGGCAATACAATAGCACCCGTTAAATGCTTACAGTTAAAATAAAGAAGCAAAGTCACTCAAAGAGTATGGGGTCTGCTCCCAGTACAGGCACAGATTCACTGGTTGAGTAGTTTAATTTCTTCTCTGTTGCTTCTAACGAACTAACAATATAACGTTTGCTTCCTACTCTATAAAAACACTTGTCATTTTTGTGACAATATGCACTTGTAGTTGTTTGTTTTTGAAAGCAAATCCTGGACTTTGGAGGAGTGACAGAAAAGGGTGGGAGATAGAGGTAGAAGAATTCAACCAAGTAGACTCCAATAATGGAGATTATTTTTAAATGCCAGGTATTAAAACGAAGAGGTTCAAAATAACATATTCATTAACCCATGGTTTCTGTGAATAGTCAGCCATAATTTTTTTCATTGCCTGCATTCCCAAGTTAGTTTCATAGAAGGCTTTATTGTAATCCAGGAGCATTGTTTTGCATTAATTTCTATGACAAGGAACCCCAAACACAGGGTGCCGAGAGCAACAAAACAGAGTTAGGGAAACAGCCATGACTTGGCACCGAGTGTGACAGGCTGCAAAAGAGCAAACGTTTCAATATCTGGAGTGGTGTGGGTTTCCTATGAACGACCTTTTCTCTTCTAAACAGTATCATATTCTTTTCAGGCACATTTAGAACGCAAGTCAAGCTGTGTTTTATTTTTTATTATAATAAACACAGTCAGTTTACTGTAACAAAGACATACTAGTGGTGATCAGTTGAAAGCCACAGTACACCACCATAAGCTGGGTGGGGGGTAGGGGGTGGAGGCCTGG